TTGGGAAGATCTATTAAACCAAAAAAAAGTTGAGGAAACTATATATGCAAACCGTCAGATTGTGAAGAAGGTAACCAAATTTTCAAATAAACAATAAAAAAAATCTTCTTCTTTTAAAATTCTCAGCTACATTTCGATGGTAAACAAAGTGAGCAGTTTTAAAAAGCATAATTTTTTTAGACAAATTTTTTCCCTACTGGTAACATTATACAGTCAGCAATTCAGTAATTTTTTCGCACTTAACAAAGTAGAAAAAATGGAAAAAAAAAAAGGAATAGAAATTCATCTGTTTTTCAGCATTCTGTCTGCAATTGCTTCGTGCAATTCTACCTTTCATCGTCGTTTAACTGTTTCAGAATGGAAGAAAAATGTAGTGCCAAAACTGTTTGGAAGATCAATTTTTTTTTTGCACGCCGAACAACAACTCCATTGTTGTGTACGAAAAGCGCTCAGTAATGTTGTCGTATTGTTGCTCCAAAAGTTTGTATATACATAGACATTATTTAAATATATATATATATATATAATAGCTAGCCTAAGATTTAGTCTAGCAAACAGCTGTCCTTTCAAGCATAAACATATCGACAACTGTGCCATATCCACATGGAGCGGATGGTGCACTACGGGACAGAAATGTTTTATCCATTGGGATCACTTTTGCCGATATTGGTTTTGGTTTACAAATTGTAACTGCTTTTGGCGTTGGTAAAGGATCGCTTTTTGCTGAACATTGTTCAAACTGCAAATTAAAAAAAACAATTAAAAATGCTTTATAAACAATAACTACTGAAAACAGACTAGTGAAATTGTGTACAAAAAATTTTGTTATATTCAAAAATTTTTTTCCACACTTTATTGGTGTCTGAAACCCTGTGAAATAAGTGAAACCAAAAAAAAAAGACTTTGTAAAACTGCCTACATCAAGATCATCCTCTTCGTGTATCGTTGGCATTGGCTCAAAATGACTCAGATGTGATGTGACACTGGTCCGATGTTGACGACGACAATTTGAAATACAAACTTGTTGTCCGTTGGCCAGCGTTACAAACTTTTTTCTTGTTTGTTCTGATTTTGAATTACCATCTACAAAAAAAAAAAAAATTAAACATTTCATTATAAAAATACTTTTGTTAATTAGTTTGATAAGTTGATTGGATTACTCACGTTTTTTTTTTTTTTTTTT